TTTCAGCTTTTTTAGACAATTTTCTTGCAGTGATGCTCTTTGACAAAATAGGAATAATAATGAATAATAATAATAATAATAATAATAATAATAATTTAATAGTATTAATCTGTTGTATTTTTTAAGTGTAAGTTATATGGAGGTGTTCTTATTTTGCCTGTTTTCATAGCAGTGGACAACGCTCTAGCAGTTTATATCCTAACTATGTAGAAGTGTTAGTTTGCATGCAACCACAGTAAATTATATCATTTCAAGAATCCAAGTTGAACCAGCTACAACAAGGCACATCACACATTAACACATTAACATGAAATAATATTTATAGCAGCAACAAATTAATTGAAGTGGTAAAAGGAAAAAAAAGGGCTTCCAGCTTCCTCCTACAGTCCTGCTATTAAGTTAATTAGTGATTCAAAATTGGCTATAGGTGTGAATGTGACTGTAAATGGTCTGTCCCTCTGTGTTAGCACTGTGATGGAATGGGATCTATGGAGGGTATATCCTGTCTCCTGCCCTGTGACAACCGTGATAGACTCATTAGATAAAGAACTAAGATGGATCGATGGATGGATGGACCTAAGATAAAAAAGTAAGATGTGAAATAAGTTAGAAACAGAGAGTTTGTAGCATTTAAGCTTTATGTAGCTTTTTGGTAGACATGGATTTGGTGATTTATTAATCTGCTAACAGTAAAATATTACTGGAACAAGTTCATATATATATATATAAACTTGTTCCAGTAATATTTTACTGTTAGCAGCATTAAAGAAGATGTTGGTTATATATAACCAACATCTTCTTTAATGTCAGTGGTCTGCACACATGTTCCTGCACACCAGCGCACTTGATTGACTGGACCTATGTTCAGGCTAAAGTTAGCAGAGCTATCCTGGGAATTATAAAAGGTAAAGGCCAGACTCAGTGCACCAGCAGACCTTTTCAACATAGAAAATTAGTAGGAAAAGTATATATGTTACTAATAATATTGATTCTGTCCTAATAAAGTGCTTCAGAAAACATAAATTGCAGACAGGTTTCTCTTTCATCTTAACTGTATCTTGAAAGTGCCGTTAAACCAATGCAGAAAATGTAATCTCACAAAATGATTTTTTTAAGTCTGTTTCCATTGCACTTTGTCACTTCTTGTTTTTATTTGTTCAATAAAACATCAAGTTTGCCTTTCACACAAACCTGAAAGATTTTTTGTATAAAGTGAATATAAAAAGAGCTAGATCAAGATGCACTTAGAGAGCCTGCAGTAACCAATGAGACCTTGAAACCACGACAGCTAAATTGAATTTTTCACCCATCAATTATATCATTCATACCGGTCCTTTAGCTTATATAGCTTGTCAAAAGGAAAAAAGAAGTATATATTTTTTCAGGTTCAGACCAGTGCAGAAGCAAAACATTATGTTCCTCGAGTGCCCACTTGAGGCTGGCTTCACAAGCCAACTGTGGTCACCTTGACCTCTTTAAAAAGTGGATATCTAGTCTTAGATCTAAAGTGACAATAATTTAAGGAACTAACTCAAGGAATTCAATCACTTGACCATGATTGTATTGCATTTTAAAGGGAATTATCTAATATTATTCTTTAAGGTAACGTTACTAACAGACAGTCCAAGAAGTCAATTTTGGGGGTGGAATTACATTTTTTTATTCATGTTAATAAGCACAAATTAGTAGGTACCTAGTATGATGCCTCTTTTCTCAACTAAAATTTGTTGTTATTAAAATGTTTGAAATGTTTTCTTAAATGAAATTGTAATAATAATATCATTTTATCAAAATAGTTTATTACAGTGGTTTATTAGTCAGTGCTGCTTCACAATAAAACGGGGTATACGTTTATATAACTGTGGAAAACAGCAGTAATTACAGGCATTTGTCTGAAGTAAAACTACACTCTAGTAGATAAATTAATGGGGTTTTTTCCCGTTTGGAAAATCTAATTTGACAGTTAGCAACAACAATAAATAACAACAATAAAGGGAAATGAAAAAAGAAAGAAAAACTATAATAAAAACAAAAAGAAAGTTTCTCTAACCTGCCAGTTCAGGCTCTCTATTTAACTTAAGTTCTGTACTTCTCTCTTGTCTTGAATCAGTGATGCTAGAAGCTGTCACAGGGAAGAAAAGCTGTGTTAGACATAGTGAGCCTGTCAACACAGTGCCAAGCAGCTAGGAGAAGCCAAGGTTAGGCAGCAGCCAGAGGAGAAGAAAAGGCACTTCTGCTGTCTACTCGAGAGTATCAACAGAAAATAAACCAAAAATCCATCTTGCTTAATAATTTGCTAATTGCATGAGCAGGCAGCAAATTTAGTTGGAATCAAGATCCGTATGTCTCTTTATTTTCCACATGTAGCAAAAATTAGCAGTATTATAATGTCTTCTTTTTTAATGTCAAGACTCTTTTTGCTTTGTTTTGTTTTGTTTTGTTTTGTTTTGTTGACAGCAGTAGTAGGATGAAACATCTATTCCACCCTGTTAAATCTGCAGTGTTGCTCCTTTTAAATTACCACAACATTTAAAATGTTTTCTTTCTTTGCACAGCAGCAGTCAGCTGTTTTGGCATTTGAAATAGAGTTCATTGTTACTTGGTTGCATAATTGACTGACAGGAAGATTTTAATATTTTAGTGCTAGCTACCTGTTTTTGTCATTTGTATTTATTGAAATGCTCATGTTGTAATAATCCCCTCATTGCAGACAAAACACGCCTATATCAGTACTGAACCAGCAATTATAAAATGTGTTTTTATAGTGTTTTGAGCTCAATAGGTTGGAATTACAGGGGACCGCTTTCCTCTTGTGGCCAAAACCATTTATAAAAAAATAAAATTCTCTGATTTCAATATGACAATGCCAGTGGCAAAAGCGTCACATCCCCAAGCTCCCCCGAGTCCACATCCTCTACTCTATCAGCCTGCTAGCTGCACCGGTTGGGCCTGATGATCCAGATTTTGCTGGTTTTTAATTAAGTGGAAGGTCAAATCTCATCGCTCTTGACTTCAGGGAGCTGATGCTGTCTGCATGGCAGAAGAGCTACACCCAGTCATTAATTTTATGAAGCGGGGACTTTAATTGATTAAAAAGTTAAGGACTATAGGGAATGCGTGGTAAGAGGCACTAGTATTTCATTGCTGTGATTGTCGTCCAATATTCATCGCAATTTATAATGGTTGCTAATGAGGAAAGATGATTTGTGTGCATGCATTTAGACAGACATAGATAGATAGATAGATAGATAGATAGATAGATAGATAGAATCCTCCAGCAGAAGCAGTCACAAGGATGTGACGACATCAATGTCACGATGTCACACAAGTCACGACGGTTTGGGGGAGAGGGGAGGGAGACAGGACAAAGACATGTGGAAGAGAACCAGAGATGAATAAAAACTACTAAAGTTGTGTATAAACGCATCATGAGTGAAAAGGTATGAGAGAAGGAGAAACACTCACGCATCATGGAAAGCCCCAGTAGCCCAAGTAATGTAGCATAACTAGGGTTGGATTCAGGGTCAGTTTATCCAATTGTCATTGTACATACTGTAAGTAAAAAAGGAAAGTCTAAATCCTAGTCTTAAAATAGTTCTGATATTATTGTGCTGATGGTTATTTAATGTCCTGTTTTTATCTAAATTCTACTATTATTTTATGTAAAGTACACTTTTGAACTTCTTTTGTTGGTATTGATTGAAGTAGGCCATGGCAGAAATAGTTTGAGAACCGCTCCTTTAAAGCTTGAGAACCGCTCCTTTAAAGCTTATTCACTGACTCTCTAATGCTGTTTAACAGTAATACCAGACGGGGTCTAGTTTCCTTTGTTTCCCGCAGTTATCTATCATTAAAGTGAGATGTCACAGTAAGGCCAGAAAGTCAATTAGAACAGATGTATTTCAGATTGCTGCTGCTATTTCTTTGTCTCATGTTCAGCGGTGATTATAGGAAACAGATACCCAGATCCTGACTCTCAAATGAGAGAAATCTTCCCTCGGAAGCACATTGTAAAAACAAACATAGGCATGATGTGAAACCATGAGCTGACCAAACCTCTGGGGAGGTCTCCCGTGTCAGATTCACTCAATGGCCTGCATCCCAGCTGTTTCTGTATCAGTGCCCTCCTCCTTACAAGATCTGAGGTCACTAGCTGTAACCTTTTACCCTCATGGGACTGAAATCAAATAAAGGGAATTATATTTGGAACACTTACTATATGAAACTGTATTATCTCATTTGGCGACAAAAACAGCTTGTTCTGCCTCGGGTAGAGCGCTTTCCTTGGAGTTAACACAAATGAAAAAAGGTTATATTCTAAGTGCACGTAGTTTACTGTCTGCTCATTCAGGTTGTTTAGAAACACTCACAGGAGACTCAAATTGCAAACAGCTTGTTCTTTTTCAGCAAGCATAGGCTCATGCTTCTTCCATGTGGTCAGAAGGGAGGTGGATTTGGAGTGCCTGAAAGCCATCCGCCCTTTTCTCTTCTCCTGTCAGGAAAATCTGTCAGCTCTGCCACAGTTCGGTCTAATAAACCAGCTTTGCCAACTGGTAGGGTTTCCTGCCTGAAAGCTCCCTTGCTAAATAACTTTGAAGAGAAAGAAAAAAGGAGTATTCTCTGGCTGCCCAGCTTCTCTTTATTGTATCATCTCTCTATCATATCCCTGCTTTGTGCGCAATTAGCGAATCTTACAGAGTGCCTTTCATTTAGAGCAAGAGTGGCAAAAGTGACCTTATTCGCATTGCTGTTCTCTCCGCAGGGGCAGTAACAAATGAGGCCTTGTTTTTTTTTAAAGGAGAGCATAATGAAGCTTTGTGGAGGAACGATCCAAGTCAGATAACCCACCAGGATTTTAATTTACCACTGTCAAAAACTTTGAAAGCTGCAAAAAAAAACATACCGAGGGCAGGGTATGCATATTCCCTCCAGAAGGTATTGATTCAATGGATGCAGTATGATGCCTATTCATGTCTTTTGTTGTTATTCTTGTGTCTCAGGTGCAAGTGTAACCTGCATGCCAACAGCTGTGTGTTTGACAAGGGGAAGCTGGGCTGTGAGTGTGAACACAACACCACAGGGCCAGACTGCAGCCGCTGTAAGAAGCACTACCATGGAAGAGCCTGGAGTGTGGGGTCCTACCTCCCTATACCCAAAGGAACTGCAAATATATGTAAGTACAGAAGCGCTTGTAATGCTATGTGGACAAGCACTGGCCATGCAGCTAATTTGCAAGTGGCTGGCAGCACATTGTTTCCACTCTTGCTGCTTGTTACCAATAAAGGGAGCCACAATGAAACATCTTTTTTCATTCTCTTTGAGATTATTCTGCCTCTTTATGATTTCAGCTCTTTGCCACTGCACTGCATCTTTGCCAGATGCTGTTTGTAGCCTAGTTTTTTGACTATGTTTTCTAATGCATTGTAGATTTAACAAACTGTATACTGAGGACTTGCATGTCACATCATATTTGACAATGATCAGTAGTATAACTTTTATTTTATATAACTTGTATTTTTGACATTTGAGGTGAAACTCGTTAAAAGACCCATGTTTACATTGTGACAAGCTGACTGGTGAATAGCTGGGTATTCCAAGAGTGCACAGCCTTTCAACATAGTTTACTCAAATCATTTGTCAAGAGAAATTACAAAATATTAGTTATAAACACAAAAACATTAAAATATGAAAAGTTTTTTTTCATAAATAAAAAGGATGAGCTTTCGTTTATTCAATATTCATTTCATGTAAAGTCAAATAATTCAAGCTTTTTTGTGTTTTCACAAAAAAACTATCAAAACTCAATTGTCTCAATTTATTAGAATAAATGATGTACAACTTTCAAAAAGTATGTCTATTTAAACATTTGGTAGATTACCAAGAATTGCTTGGTAAAGTGTGGTGTGGTTTGGAGCAGATCAGTTTTTGGCACTGCTGAGGTGTTAATGAAGGCCAGGTTGCTTTAGAAGCAGCTCATCTGTATTTCTGGGTCATTTGTTTCTTATCTGTCTTGACAATACCTGGTTCAAGTCTGGCAAGTTGGCTGGTTAGTCAAGCACAGTAATCTGAAGGTCAGCAAACCATTTGGTAGTAGCTTTGGTGGTGTGGGTAGATGTTTGGTACTGCTGGAAAAGGAAATCAGCTTCAAGCTTGTCAGCAGATGGAATCATGAAGCTCACTAAAATATTCTATTAGATTGCTGCTTTGGAATTAAAACACATTTCCAGTGACATGGCACAGCAAATCACTTCAGAGTGTGGAAACTTCACACTGGACTTCAAACAACTTGGGTTTTGTGTCCCTCCACTCTTCATCCAGACTTTTTAATTTTAGGTGAAATTTACTTTCACCTAAAAAGACGAGTTTAGACCTTTTTCTCCTTATCTCAGGAATTGTCTCTGCTCAGAAGTGGTTTGATATTGGAAATACAACGAGCCCCTTTCCATCTGTCCATAGACCAGCATCAGTCAACTACTTGTGAAACTCCTACATGTTCTTGACAATCCTCAAGGCTGTAGTCATCCCTGTGCACCTTTTCCTACAACACTTTTCCATTCTGATCACTCTTTCATTAACATGCCTTAATACAGCACTCTGCAAACAGTAATTGTAATTTACTCAAACTCAAAATGAAACATTCTAATAATTTGAAATTGTGGATTTCTGAAAGTCATAAACTGTAACCCATAATAATTCAAATTGAAACAAAAATTAAGCCAGAAATATTTCACTTTATGTGGAACATATATTGAATGTGTATATAAAATTTCATGGTATTTGATTTCTTGATAATACTAGATGCACTAGTATTTGTTCTCGCTAATGGATATTGTACTAAATTGCTACTTATAAATAATTTTAAAGTATTTCCAAGTAGTATAGAAAAAATATAGAAAAATACAGGAAAAACAACCCTGTTCACATTCATGTTTTGTCAGACAATAACCAGATGGGCCACTCAGTCCAAACATGTGACATATGGATGTATGTGTATGTAAAGGATTCATCTGTGTCACATTTAAACATACTGAGTAAGTCTCCATTTTTCAGTGTGAAGGGTTAATGTTGGGAAGGGGAAAGCTCCTGAGCAGGTCACAGACAGCTTTCTCCTGTCTGACAAACGTAAGGCGTACTATAGCGAGCTTTAACAGAGAACTTTAATCTCTCTGTGTCTAATATTGCTGCAGCCAGCAAGTCAAGGCACTGACACCAAAGGACACCTTGTCCATATCTCTGCATCTGATGGAATAGAAGTATTTTGTGCCCTGGGATGCGAACGCAATGGGATCACTGACACAAATTCACTGTAACCTGTTAGTCTTAGGGTCTTTGCATCACTGGTAAGCTATTTTCTGTATTTCATTCATTTAGTATTCACTATTAAATAAGTGTCAATAGTCCTCCTACAGTAGTAACACTTTAACATTGAATTTATTATTGCTACCTCAACTCCATGACAAGTGTGAATTTGGTATCTCTGAGGCAGAAGGTGCTCTTTTGCATTATCCCCATTATAATCTTGGACTGGAGTTGAGTCACATTTATCAAATCCCATGCCTGAGGCAGGGGGCTCATTGCTTCAATAAATCTAATACAGCCACGCAGGGATATGGTGGTAGACGGCCAGGCAAGGCCAGATGGTGGAAGATCTAGCCCTCTGGTCCCCCATTCGCTCTGATTCAGCCTCCAGTCAGAAACACTCTCATAGCAGCCGTCTGCTGGGATTGACAGCAAGTTCTTCAGATGTTCAGTTTGATTGTCTCACTTGAATTCTCAGACATCGTGTTATGATTAGATTTGTACAGAGATATGGTATTGCTATCGATCCGCTGTGTTGGTAAATTTGTGCAGTAACACTAGTTTTCTTGCTCTTCTAAGGGAAATTTCTCATTGATGGATTGGATGATTATTCGTTCATTTGAATTTTTTTATCAGTCTCCTGTTTGCATGTATGCACGCTAAGCTGTGTGCACGCACACGCGTGACATACACGCTCACGCACAACACTCGATTGTGTGTGGGAGTCTGTTTGTGGGAACATTTGTGAACTCTAAGGAGATATTGCTGGATTTACCCCTACACCTCCTCTGTGTTATGAATCTCCTGCTCACTGTCAGATTGACAGGGTGTTATTAAAAAATCCAACACTTGGCCGCATCTGCACTGAACTGATGAAACCAAGGTCTACCCATATCAAAAGCAATATTAGCAGTTGTTTGGAAGTGGCATAAAATGCAATAATGTTGCACATGGTAGTGACGTAACAATATTGGTCCCCCAGGTGTTGAACGAACACACTTTTGTCTTGAATGATTTTTATTTCTAAGCTTGGGTCCAATAATATGCCTTTACCTATTATGTGAAGCTCATTTTTCCCACGAGGATATTAAACATACAGCCCTTATATTACCACAAATATGTGGAACATGCGAAATGTAATTACGATTTAATAGCTTTCATCTGTCATCAAGTCTTCCTCTTTAATCTCGGAAGTCATTTATCTCACCGCTAGGAACAGGGCAGGGTCTATTACATATTCAAAACCACTGTACATGCAGATATATGGACATACGTGACCCTTCATCTAATAAATTTTAGCCCAAAATGGTGCACTGAGTTGCTAGGGGCCATAGCTGTCAGCAGCAGAAAGACTGAGAGTGATTCAAATCCGTGATTCTCTGAAGTAAATAGCTCTCTGTGCGTGTGTGTGTGTGTGTAGGTGGTGGTGGTGGGGGGAAAGGGGTGTTGTCTGTAAGTTGCCTTCAGAGCAGAAGAGGAATCACTTCAAGAATTATGTTGACAGTTCACTTTGCAAAGAGCGTCAACTCATCTTGTGTTCCAAAGCAGGTTCAGAGGTTAAGGCAGGTTGGGTCTGAGAGTTTGATCAGACTGTAGAATGTGCTTTGGCTTCAAAGGGCAATATTGTTTGCCCTCCATTTCTCACATAAAGCTATGAGTGAGAAATTGCAGCCTAAATGTGCTTTTTGCAAATTGGAGCTCAGAATCTCTGATTTTCCGGGGTTTTTTTTCAACAGTTGTTGTAACAGGTAATTTAGTGATGAATAGGCTGCAAACAATATTAAAACCCCCAGTGAAACATAATCACGTGACGCAAAGTGATAAAGCTTGTGAAAGGCATCCAAAATTGCACTAATCCTGGAGTCACATTTGCTTGGTGATAAATATCACACAAAGATGGTGAATCCACAGCCAGATCGAAACACACATGGATTGTCAGGTTGTCATTGTTTGCAAATGTGTGTTTTGTTTTAAGACAGTTGAAGGTAAATTTTTGTTGTTCTTCTTCCCCAGTGTGTTTAATGAGCTTTTATCTCTCTTTTCTACATATTAGGAAGTTCCACGAACCTGACAATGAGAGACGATTACAGCAACTAGCATTTGTAGATGACGTTTGATTTGATTTGACGTTTCATTCGTTCAAAGATGATATTGAAAAACGGTGAACATAAGCCAAAAGCAGATGAGAGACAAAAACTCTGTTTATTGAAAACATGAATGAAACTGCTGATCACAAGACTTTTTCAATAGAGTTTTGATTCGGTTGGCATTTTGTTGCCGGCAGGCCTGTTATTATCATCAGAAGAAGGCGGAGTGGTCAGGTTCTCTTTAGAGCAATACAGTAGCTGCTGCTAATCAGCGAATGCACTGGAGATCAATGTGATAAGTGCTGGTGTTTTGTTTTTTTGTTTTTTCAAAGTGAACAGCACCATCAACAATATTTTCTCTCACGAGTAAAAAGAAATGAGTCAATGTGTTAATGATACATTATTTCCTTGCTCTTTCCGCAGGTATTCCCAATAATCACGGACCAGTGCGTAAGTTGATCAGGCTTTTTTATTGGCATGCTGACTAATATTTTCCTCCCTCAGTCATGGCTAACTCTTGTTTGACTGATGATGTTGTGTGAGAAATTGTGCTGTACGTTGCCATTACCATTGATCAGCATGTTTTCCACAGTGGGAAAAAAAATCCATCCTACCAGGGCACTCATGTAGAATTGAATCCTAATACCCTACGTCTATAGAGGGGGTGAAACGATGCATGGCGTGATGTTGAGCTTCTCCAGTTTAGTTCTAATAATGGTCACTGACATAAAAGTAAGAGTGTTTGAAAACTTTAGAGTTTATCCTACTAATAAAAATGTAACATTTTAAATTATAATATTATAATATTATAATATATATTAAATTATAATATTTTTAACATTCCTCTAATTTATTTCAAGCCTTTTCCACTTCACATTCCAGCAGTTTTTCATATTTCATGCTGCCGGTTTTCATAGTTTGAAATTATTGTGTTTTTGCCATATTAAATGAAAAACAATGTGCATTAATTCCCATATGGCACTAAATCAGTTACACTTCTTTGAATTAAACTATGAAATTTCTGGGTTTTAATTATACCATAAGCCAGTCTGAATAATCTTTGAGGTTTAAAACAAATTCAGATCTTAAGATTTGCCATATTCATTACTTTAAGCTATGCATAAATTGGATTGGTGGTTAGAAATATTATGTATATTTGGTAGCTATTATGTGAAAACTTGCAAAACAATGGTAACAATTGATACATCTTGGTACTGGCGAGTTTATAAAATACGGTGGAAGTCCCGAGTGTCTGGCCAGTGTATCAGAATGATTTTTCCTTTCCAAACTAGAATATTTGTTCTAAGCGCACAGACAGATATTTGCCCTAAAGAAAGGAAAACCTTTTTTTTTTTTTTATGAAGGTGTGGTTCCAGCCATGCTTCCCTCTGCATGTTGATGCCTGAAGGTGTCTCCACATACTGGATAACAAAAGCAGCTACCATGCATACACATTGCTATCTTTGTACTGTGGAAAATTCATTTAAGCTGCATGCACACTATTCTACATTAAGCCATTTACTACTTCAAATGTATGGCAGGAATCTTCTGGAAATTTGGACATATCTTTGGCCTGATAAAGGTCATTATTGTAAAAACCAGCAACTATGCATGCTGTCCCTGTGCTTTAACTAAATAACAACATGACTTATTTGACAGCCAGTGTAATACATAACCTTTCCCATTTTTACACAGATCGGGCAAATGCTTCATCTCTTGGTGTTGCAAATCGTAATCAAGGTAGGCTTATTGGCTTTGTAACTTCAGCATGACACTACCCATAGATAAAAAATTATCAACTGGTTATTGATTGACCGTTTGGAAAAAAAACAAAAGTGTAATGTAGAATATGCAAATTCTTGTGTGCAGTAGGTTGTCTTCCCAAAGCCCTAATGCTTTCATCCTGCATGCAAACAAACACACGCTGGTCCTTACAAGGCAGACCTTTTGTTGTGAGAACACTGCAGGGAATGGACCACATGCCTCATGATCACCGAGTCCACAGCCTTCTAACCCCTTTGATCATGCCCTTTTTTTAATTACCCAGTACGTTCTCTAGGGGTGCACCCTTTCTGCCACGTTCTGAAAGAAAAAAAAATGAAGAAGAAGAAAAAACAGGGAGAAAAAAGAGGAGAAGGAGGAGGAAGGAGAGAATAGGCTCCAGGGGGGGTTTATGTAGATTGATCTCCAGCTATCTCCAGATAATCCTCAGGCCCAGATTTTCTGTGTAGTGTGTGTTAAGTCACATCTGCACCACTGCTCTCACAACCAGGAGAGAAAAAAATTAAAAGAAGACTTTGAGGATTTCCACAATTAAGATGGGGGGGACAAATCCAGAAATCTTTTTCTGGATTTGCAAAACTGTGGATGAGATTAAACAATAATCGAATCCTTCTGCCGCCAAAAAATAATTAAATGAAATTGGCCATTAAACAACAACTCCATCGAGAATTTTCTAAATCAAACGTGACATCTTTAAATGGATTATTTTACTCCACCAGTAGTTTGAAGCAGACAATGTTTTGAGTAATTATTTAGAAAATGATCTGTTAATTTTCTGTTGATTTGTGATATATAAAACTAAAACCTTAACCTGAACAGCCGCTGTTTTAATTGCTCTTAAGTGTAAATAGCATTTACAACAAACCAGTCTGGACTATAATAATGGGTATATAGTTGACCTAATATGCACTTCTGTTGTTTGCCAAGACCCAATAAAAAGCAAAACACACAAAAAAAATCTACTAACAAACTACATTAGCAGAGGTTTCTCCCGTGTTTCCCGTGCGCTAAGCTAAACTGGTAGCATGTTAGCTGTATTGAAGTATAGCATATCAACATAAAAGTGATAGCCTTGTCCTCATCATACTGTCGGCCCAGAAGTAACTAAGGACATATACTAAAATTTTCTTAAATGCAACTTTCAGATCTTGCAGTTTTGAGTTGACAAGCAGTAACAACTGCAACATTCGAGTAAAAGGAAAATCATGCACTTTCTGTCTTCAGATCCTCACCACCTTGAAGTGCTACTATACAACTGACAGTTTATATTGAACTTCAGAGCGCTGAATCACTGACTAATGATGAAGCCTTCATGCTAATACGATAACTGGGGATATGGCTGAATGAAAGTTTCAGCTTTCACTGACATCATGGCAAAAGATATTGACTGAGTGTAATTGAAACAACAGTATTCTGTCTCCAGGCAGATAATAAGATCCTGTATCTGACAACTGTCTCCAGGTAAAGTCAATTACCTGTACGGATCCATAGTTATAGAGACATTTTAAAAATATTAAATGCAGAACTGTGAATGAATATGTTTTAAACTTTAATTAAATACAGGGGCATTTTGTATCTGCAGGGTCGTCTGTTTAAAAAATTGGATCTTAAACTTTATGACTCACTTTCAGTTATCATGAGCAAACCTCATTCACGTAATATCCGATTGGCTGATACGGACAGATGTATGTAACAAGATTGGATGTTCAATAGAATAAACCTCCACTACATGACATATCTAGATCTTTCATTAAAAGAGTGACACTAGCTACAGTATGATCCAGCTTATCGATTTGTGCCTTTTAACTTATCGTGCTGTGATTTTCTGTATCTCAGACACTTCAGCTGCGGAGTATGTGAGGACATCAAGAGTTCACAGAGATGAGAGGATAAAAGAACTGTCTGAGTGTGCTTTCGGACAAACAGACTACAATCTCCTTTTATAAAACAGAAAAGAAGGATGACTAAGTCCAAAGTGTCACAACCACAATAGATTCAATGTATCCACAATAGTCTAATCCAGTTGTGGTACAATGCAAGACAGATTTACATTTAATTGCTTTAAATTGTGTCACAATCACAATTCCACAAACAGCAATGGGAAACATAATTCAGGTGTTTGTCCTTCCTGTCACTTCTGTGCTGTTGCTTTGGTAAATGTTCTCTATGTTGCTTCGTGCAGCACCAAAACCCCAGAGTGACTCTGTCATAACAGTTATACTGCTAAAATGTGACACATCTGACAGAGGTGTGAGGTGCACATATGTCTCCCGCAGAGTACGCCGGTCCTTGGGTAGGACTGGAATTGCTGTGTCTTCACTTGCTGCACAAGCCCAAGAGTGAGTGATGTCAGACAGGGTAAATTTGTAGACCCACTGCATTAAAACAAAGGGGGGGGGGATTTTTAATGTCCTCTGGAGGGAGCTTTACAAAGGCTGAAAAATAGCCCTTTAATGTTTTCATTAATTCCTCCGAGCCAGACTGAAGACTACAAATTTTAAGCTAAGAGCTGGTGTGGCATACAGTGAGGAATCTCTTCAGGGACGCTCCCCACAGTGTCCCGCGGTGTCCTTTCAGATTCCATTATTCTTACATGGGAAAGGCTCATCTTTGTAAATTGAAGATAGAAGGAGGACCGGCTCTGCCGAATTTCACACATTATTACTGTGCTGCCAGCATCCGCTCCATTGCCTATTGACTAAGAGATGCATTTGTGCCACTGGATGGGTTTGAAGCAGGAGGACAGTTTAACTTTCACTGCCAGTGCACTTATTTAATGTGTCACTTAAAAAAGTAAACTACATAACAATCTAGCTCAGGAAATTTAAACTACCCATAATAACGAATTTCTCATTCACGTCTTTCAATTCAAAAGACACTTTTCTCTCATGGAAGACGGTGTGATACCTAGTGTTAGTAAACCACATCTAATAGCAGGTCTTGAATAAATATGTATATTCATGTCAGGAATTATTTTAGATTATAGGATCTTGCTGCTTCAGATTGCAGGCCTGGAGAGACTGGGTGCATTTGTGGTCTTTATAGAGTATTTCTTGATATAACTTGACAACTATTATCACCACAGGGGAGAACTGAGTAACAGATTTACTCTGATGTTTGCCCAATAGTTTTAAAAATATTGGGTATATACGAAGACTTCATGATAAAAGCTGAGCCAGTATTAGTCACTTCAGCGATAGCAGAAGTGCTGAGAAAATAAATAGGATTTATTCTTAAAAATAAAAAGGTAAGTAATTTAACAAACGTTCCACACCCCAGTTTTAAACCTAGGAAGCACTCTGGGTTGAGGGCTGGGGTGGATGTAAGCCAATCTGTTCTTCCTCTGTTGTCCACTCTGCACACTGTTATGTGAAATGTGTTGCATCCAGGTAGTTTACTTTGTGGATGTTGTATTCTACCATGCATGGTTTGCTGTCCTTTGTTACTATAATACAACCAACTGAGAAAGTTTTCATTTCACTTTAGATAACAAAAAAAAAAAAAGTTAATTTATAGCGTAAAGCATCTTTTGTCACGACAGCACAACAAAGACAGAACAGTCTTAAGCCTCTGCATAAGCAAACTAATTGGTTTTACAGATGCTTTTAGAGAGGTAATGGTCCTGAGGGTCTGCTGGAGGATACACAGATTATCCTTCGGCCACAGGCAACAATGTTAATGTGTTGACTAAACTACTGAGACTGTTTTCCAAAACACACTGAGCAGGTGTTTGCATTAGCTGTTAGAAATTTTTTATTTTTTATTTTTTTTAACTGACTAGAAATCACTGATTGGGGAATTGCCAGAGGGCCATTAATGTTTGCGGCCACTCTGGACCCATAATTCATGAGTCCATTCCCACCACACCTGGTTAAAATATCTCCCCAGTCATATTTGTCCCTTCTTTGAGAGCAACAACTACAACATTGTTCCCACGTGGTGGTCCAGTCAGTCAGTTTCACACAACAGAAAGACACGATTAATGCATTGACATTTAATTGACAACCTATTTAGTAATGATAAGGTTGTAATCTGAAAGTCCCACAACATTCAAGCCGTGTACAGAGACTGGATTTGCCACAGGCCCATTTTATTATTAATTAGTTTAGTTTGTTTATTGCATTTACATATATCTACATGTAAATTATATTCCTGTCTCATGTGTTACTTAGCTTGTGTGTCATGCTTTGTTTTGCCCTGTCCTTGTCTCTATTTCAGTCAGTTTGATTGCTTTTCCCAACCCTGTTAGTTTTACTTGTTATGTTTTTTAGTCAGCTGTTGCATGTTTGAGTTATTTTGTGTTTCCTGCCCATTTTCACTTGCTTATTTCTTTCTCTTACTGTTTTATTTGGTGGGGTGGGTTGTTTCTTTGCTTTTTATTTTATTGGCTTGTTGATATTACACGTCTTAACCCTCCAGCATCTTTTTGTCATTCATCTCTAGTAAATTTCATTAAATTTCACCTTTGTTTGCCTTACCCGCCCTTCTGCATTTGGGTCTTTTTTAGAACTCTCCTTTCCAGACTCATTGTTTTAAACAGCTACACAAAGAAAAAAACTTTTGCATACAGTAACAAACTTGCAAGACCCGCTGCTATTAAAATAAAGGGTTTGACTACCATATTTGCTCGTTTAGTGCCACTGTTATTGACGCTTTAAATAAAAGCACAGAAAGGCCATTAAACATAACAAGGCTAACACAAAACTTGTCTGGAGACTGTTCAAAGAAGATGTAGACATGTCAGGAAAAGCAGATCTACCAGAAGCATCATTTCCAACACTTCATCGCAAAGTTATTGAAAATCCTATATTAAAGATAAAACCCTGTGTCCACAGCTGGAATTTCCATTTAAAGTGCATAACAGCAGTGGTGTCTATGTGCAGTGGGTGGGAATATTATTAAGTTAAATGCAATACCAATGCCTTCTTAATCGGTTTTGGCATGAGCAATGATTATTTGTTGAGTTTATTCTGATGCATGAGCCACATTACTGAAAACCAAAAATGTGATTACTATTTATGCAAGGAGAGATATCCAATTACACTGAAATCTCTTGGCAAATATTACCTCTTCCAGGATTTCACCTCTGCAAGCAGAGAGGCTTCCTGGGATAATTGAGTTGTGAGTTTTTGTCTGGAAATGTGGATATTAACTTATGTAGTCCTAATCAGTCTACATCAAAACAAAGAAATGTTTGTTAGCCAGTAAAACTCCAGCCACTGATATTACATCCTTCTTCTGACAATGTTGTATTGCTTGCTGTAAGGTTAACTACAGAGAAGAAAATAACAGCTACTGGTGAAATACCTGGAAATGCTCATTTGCATATGAAAGGTTGTGGTGATGTGATGGAGCCAGGTATCCATCCCGTGTCTTCTCCTCTTTCTGTTCTCTTCACCTCAGCACAGAGGGGCTGTTTCACAATACTCTGGCATCCTTTGATTCTCAAATAATTAAATTCACCTCATCAGAGCCATGGTTTGCTTGCTCTTTTGTTTTGCCAGAATTATTTGCTATAAAGTCCCTTTGGCGCTACTAAAAATATCCATGAATCCATACAATGTCTGTGTTCCTTTGTTAAGTATTTTCAGAGGCTGTTGGCAGCATTATATTCTTTTAATATGTACCCTTGCTGTCGGTGTCCTCTTCCTTTTTTTGCACACTTTCTGAAGTCCTTGGCTTTACCCTCTCTAATGTGTCAGCTGTGCTCTAAGGACACAGAGCAGTACAGACAGGACAGGAAGAGGCAGCTTGTGCCCTGTGAACCTGCCTGTTGATGTTCTCTGCCGCCCTATCACTGAGTGATCTATTAATCACGCTTTCCTGTCTCCCCTGCCCTTTCTGCTTTGTCTGTGCAGCTCGGGTGTGTGACAACGCGATGCTGCGCTGTCAGAACGGCGGCACGTGCCACCACCATCAACGCTGCCATTGCTCCCCCGGCTTCACGGGCATCCTGTGCGAGAGAGCTCGCTGCCAGGGTCCAGGAGACTGCGATGACCAATTGTCTGGACAGGCCTCGCTCCATCATCGCCCCACAGGCCGCCACCACACTCTTACCCTTGTAGTGTTCCCGCTATTATTCGTTTCTCTTTGCTGAGGGACCTGAACCAAATCCTCAACCAAAACACGAAATGCTGAGAACGAACACTCAACCTTAAGGACATGAAGAACAAAGAATGTGTGGACAATGTGCTCAGCAGACAATATAAGCAACTCTTTTTTTGTATATCCAAGGCCACAGTGGTGGATGGCAGTGTTATTAGTGCAAATGGCTGTGCACTGATGTGTTATACTGAATGATAGAAGGATTTATGAAAGGTCTGGTGAAATCACTGCTGTCTTATAACTTCCCAGAGGAAACGGTCGGAGCCTTTGCTTTGTGATCTTGTCATTGGCTTATACTTCAATAAAGGCAGACTGGATACTCCACTCAGATAAAGATACCCACATCCTGAGAGCAAACTGTATAAAACTAGACACATGATTTCTAAGTATCATCTGAAGTTAAAAAAAAAAAAAAGTATATATATACATATATAATAGTGTGGACGGGACTAAAATCATGTTGCCTCACTGCCTCCTTCCTTACTTGCTACCATCTTCTCTCCTTTCCTCTTTTCCTTTACTCTGGCCTTTTCCCCTCACTTTCTCCTTCATGTGCTTTGGTGACCCTGGTGATTTTACTTTGCGGAAGGGCGTTGTTTGCCAAAAGCTGCCCATGCGTTTTCAATTCCCTAAAAGTACCAATCTAGTATGTTTTTTTGTTTTTTTTAAGAGGCTTTGTAGTCATGCTTGAACTCACCTGTATGGGGGGAAAAAGGTGTAACATACTGTAACTGTATTTAATTTTGTATAAAACAGATATTTTCATGACTACGCAAAAAAAAAAAAAGATGTATTACTTGTTTTCTATTGCTGGCGACCTGTCATATAGTAGATGTGGACTATGAGTGCGTAAGGAGTTTTGGTTGTATTATTTCTTTGCTTGTGTGGCACATGGTTCTCTTCATGGTTTGAGAACTGCTGTCAAAACTATGTTTACATTCCCACTTACACAATACACTTCCACCAAAGCGAAAAAGCGAAACATGTCTTTGTGTTGTTGTTGAACAATGGTAACCTTATTAGTCAGTAACATTTGAAACAACATATGTAGAGTTACGGGTTTATTGTTTCTAGATAGGTGCAAACCAATGACAATAGATGAATGTCATTATAAAGGATTTTAAACTCAACAGCAGTTGCTGATAATAATATCCGTTAACGCGTAACTCCCTGGTTCTTTGTCCATGGCTGGTTATTTTACTGTGCTGTGACACGCTCTTGTTGTGCTCATGAAACGTGGGAGAATGAAAAGAAACTCAAGACAAAATCCCATCAATTTTATGTAAATTTAACAAGAAGATTCAAAGAAAAGGAGATTGCTCCGCTGTCACAGAGGTTGTTCAGCTCAAGTCTGTAATCAGATCTAATCCTTGAATCAAATGGGAAGAGGGGACGTTTTTCTGAGCTAGTGCGACTGAAAGCCTACATCCTGCTGTGGCAGCCACCACAAAGCTACACGTTGAGGAAATGAGCTTTAATTCATGCAGGGTCAATGAATAGAAATTAAGATGCATCCCACTGGGTGACATATTGAGCACTGAGACCAATTTCATTTGAGAGATTAATTGTACTCCCAAAGGTTGTCATGAAACATCTAATTGTGCTAGAGTCTATTATAAGTGCCTCTCATTAAATTACTATCTATGATCAGAGTTGCACATGCCTTTTTTGACAGACTCTTGCTTATAAAGCGTCCTTTGAGAACCAACACGGGGTATTTGAAAAAGGCTAATTCGCTATAGGTAATCACTAGAAAGGTATGGATGTATTTTATTTAGCAAGGTTTAAAGTTTTGGAAGAGAAAAAACAAAATCTTTTGCTTAGAATTTCTGATGCAGAAAACACTAACAGACTTATCAGTTATTCAGAAAATGAGTCAGCAGCAACAGGTTTGGTCTATAGCCGACTGTATTAAAAAGGCTAAATCTATGTTATCTAGTTGAGGTGTGATGAGCTATTCTGTTTACTTACAAAAAGAATACAGTGGAAGGCCAGATGTCCCAGTTTTCAACTAGGACTTGAATGCAGCTTACATTTGTGGATCTGTGTGAAAATCTGTCTCAAAACCCTACGTGGGCCTGCGACTCAGTGCCAAGCCCACTGAGATCAGCTGATCTCAGTGCCAAGCCACATCATCAGCAGCACAGAAGGGTATCAGCTGACCCATAAGGTGTCATCCGGATGGATCAGCAAAGAAAGAACAATCTCCAGGATCCTAGAGACTGTGATGACCAACTGTCTGCATAGGCCTCAGTCCATCATCACCCCACAGGCCACCACCACACTCTTACGACTCCTTGTTTTGATCTCAATTTTATATTATTTGTTTACCTTTGCTCAGAAATTTGAACCAAATCCTCAACCAAAACGTGAAATGCTGAGAATTAACACTCAACCTTAAAGACATGAAGTACAAAAACACATGTGGACAATGTGCTCAGCAGACAATATAAGCAAGTGTTTTTGCTGGCAGTGTTATTAATGCAAACAGCTGAGCGCTCTTGCTCTCCCCACGTATTATTTCCAGGTACAGTTAGATCTATATTGTGCATGACATGTAGCTTTAATGCAAGAGGTTTTACAAAAAACATATTAAGTGTTTGGGAATCACAGCCATTTTATATACTTTCCCCATTTCAAAATTAATTGATAACTAACAGCTGGCTAACAACTGACTGACAATCATTTTCATGACCAGCTGAGGCCTGTTGATGAATGAAGCAGACATAATATCTGAAGCTCATTAAAAGGGTTGAATTTTACGTTAGGCATTGCTCTTTCAATTACGAAGCCCAGGGCCCAGTCCTTCCATATGCATATGGAAGGACTGGGCTCCAACAGTGCTATGCTGCCAAACTACTGCAGATGGAAATTACAGAAGGGAAATTACTTTTTTACTATAGTTGTCCCATCCTCTGTATATTAATAATGACGATAGCCAATGTGACATCACCCACTGGTTAATGGAGACGAGTCATGAAGCACTGAGCTGAGCATTTTTATCTTGACAACACAAGTCAAGGAAACAAGGGGATGATAATGCATGATGTGAGCATCATGTTGTGTTCAACCAGACTTAAAACTAACAAATTAGACCACGGTCGTAATGATATCCGAAAGCTACGTCTAACTTTGAAATACAGTCATCTGACTGAGAGGTTCTAACTGAACATTACGCTAAGGATTGCAAGCTAACTATTTACCAGCAACAGCAATAATTGAGCTGCTTTTAAAGCCAAGGAAAATTTCATATTTTGAAAGTCTCTACTCAGAGTAGTGCACATACTGTGGAGTATTTGTCTAATGTCTGTAGGTGCCAGATTTCTGCCACAAATTTTGTCCGACTTGTAGTTTATAGACTAGTTGCAGTTCTGTGATGGATTCATGAAGGTTCACACACTACCAAATAGCCAGCTCTGAGTTTATCACAGTTTTCACTAAAGGGGCTGTAATAATAATAAAAAAAGAAACATACAGGGGGACAGACAAAAAATGTAAAAGCTACATTTTCTATCTTGTTTATTCAGGTATCCTATGTAGCAAGCAAGTGCGTAAGCTAAGCTGCTCAGCTATAATTAGGCCTGTGATTTATTATACTTGTTTTATCTTAAAAAACAACAGCTTTTTTATTTGAATGTCTGAAATCATTAGCTGGTGATGCAAACTTTTCCCTGGGACATACAGCTTTAGCTTCAATTATTTCACATTATATTGCAGGCATCAGATTAATGGAAACTTTCATCCTTTTTTTTTTTTAAATGACCTGATCTAAAGCAGAAAGAAGTGAGCCAGAAACAGCACTAGCTAATAAAATCTATTTGGTAAAAGGTGCTATTATAATTAGCTAGAAATGACTATCATTTTTCATCCGGAATGACTAATACATTTAATGGTAAAGTTGGCTTCATTGTTATATTCACCATGTGAGAACAGAAGGCTTCATATGTGTCTCTGCAGTAAGGGGATTGTGCTCAGCTCTTTAGGATGTGTGAGTAAATTGGCAAATAACTACACTGTTATCCTAAATACAGCAGCAACTTCATCTGTCCAGCATAATATCGCCTTCAGTGATTTAATACTTTGCTTCAAGGTTCCTGTCTCCGAACTGGCTTTGGAGAATGTGAAGTGGTCCACTTGAGGCTGTGGTTATAGCCTCAAGTGGACCAGTCATCAGTTTAGGAAAAGAAGTTTTTAGAGCAGTGTGTGTGTGTAGAAAAGAAAATTACCTTTATGACATGTTAGTGCAATAAAACTAGTGCTTTATGACCCTTTCTCTTAGCTTTGGGCTGTATTTAGCTATTGCCACTAAAATATTTAAGGTTAAATCCAAGTCTCTTGCCCTTAAATACTGATGAATGACTGGATAGGGAGCATTGCTCCAACTTAAAAGCTGCTCCAACACTCTTGAGATTCACAAGGAAACAGTCTGCTTAGCACTGACATATTTTAATGGTAATATCAATATGTTTTTCTCACTACCTTATCTGTCTTTGGAGAGAACAAAAATAAAGGTGGAAGGTAGATATTTTTATTCAAGAATTTTTACTAACTTATTGGTGGCAACAGTGGAAGTTGAATAACTGGGAGGATTTTGTAAAGTATGATGATTTTTCGGTCACCAGAATTTAGACCACAGAGAGAAAGAAAGGTTTTTTCCTTCACTAGCTCTGTTGCCTACTGTTTTATGTCACAGCAACGCCTTGTCCTTTTTACTTTCACATCTAAGACTCAGGAGGGGGTATTAGGAGGACATTTTTAGACATGTGCAGTCCTTGTGTTCTGCCACTGTCAGCACTGGTGGCACCAACAGAAGGTTACATAACGTAAGACAAGGGGTATTCAATATCGAGGAAAGAAGCAGCTCAGCAACATGACTGGAGCACTGAGCAAACCAATATCCATATTCAGCTCTAAAATACCCAGCAATAGAACTGGTGCTGTTCCACCAGAAATCTCCACTTTTCTGTCATTACAGATCGTATTAATGATCTGCATTTTGTTATCCATAAACCTATCAAATTTGTCTAAATATTTGAATATTGATAAACTCCATTCTGTTTGCAACATGAACTCGTCCTTGACCCTGTCGCTTAGCAAGCTTCAACTGCTGGTTCAGCTGTCGCTGTAACAAAAGAAAGGATGAGAGGATGACACCATATGGAGAGTTGCACTTTCCATAAAGATTGTCTTGTTCATGCGGCACTAAAGCAACTTTATCCATTGCGGTGAAAGTTGTTTCATTTATTCACTTACTTACTTATCATTTCATTTATTGAGTTACGCTTACTGACTTACTTACAGTTGCGTTGTTCATAGTTTTATTTGTTTGTTTTGCAAATGCTAGCTCCCATTTGAAAAGAAAAAAAGTTAAACGCGACTCTTCTTTAGACACATCAAATTAAAGTCATTTTTTGTACATTGTCTCAATTAACTTTCTGCTTAAACTTTAATAATCTTTAGGATAAACTTTTGATTTGAACTTAAGTACAGTAATATTAAGTGTCAAGTAGTGTCAGGTTTAACCATCAGTTAGTGAGCCTAGTAAATAAGGGACACCACATCTCTCATAACTGTCTTAAAATAATTCCTTCTGTAGTTCAGTAGACTAAAATTTTCATTTTGGACTGTCTAGAGGAATCAGTGAGCGGACAGTTTTGATCCTTTCAAGTAAATCTTTTCATTACAACAGTCCTGTTTAAAATGATTTTACTTCAAAATTGGGTTCGTCTAAATGCTACCATGAGGAATAAGACCTTGTAATAAAAATAATAATAATAATAAAAAGACCATGTAGGTGCAGAAAACCTCTGCAAGGAGATATCTGCTGTTTTAACACAGCTACTGTATTCACATATTAGCAGAGCACAAGTGAGGTGTTTTGAATAAAAAAATAAGAGCATTTATTAAACAGATAAATGGCAGTAATGTTGTTTTGGTGCCAGAATTGAGCAGCGTAATTTAGCACTTTTAGATATT